CTTTGCACACTGCGCAACGGGGAGTGAACCCTTCCACTCTCTTTTGCCGACAGTGTTTGGCCTCGTGCGCCTCCGCACAATAGCCACATGTTTGGAATGCGTTACATTGAGCGCCGATGTGGTCATAATGGTTGCAACGGAAGCATTGTTTCACCCTACAGGTGCGGTCATAGAGTTGACATTGGTGTATCTGGCCCTCCCATGCCATACCGGCATGTATAACGGCGTTGGCCATCTCTGGCGCGGCAAATTCGACGACAATGGAAGATGCGCGTTTGAGGGGGCCTTCTCTGGTCAGCCAGCCCACATACGATATCTTCGCGTCGGGGATCACGGTATAGTTGTCTGCCAGTATATGTTGAATGGTCGTCTTCTGATCTTTGATATTGATGGAACTAGTAGAAATGCCGTGGACGATAACTCCATAGGTCGGCACGACTACTTCTGCGTGCTCTCCCAGGCCTTTCAACCATCCTTTGTTCTGTTTGAGTTGTTGGACCTCTGCGCTCGTGCTTGCGAATATCTGCAGATCACCACTTTTGAGCTGATGCGCCGCGACGAGCCTGACCGATCTCGTGCCGTTGTTGTCTCGTATGGAGTTTTGTACTTGCTGTTCGGTCCACGCAACCGGATGGCTGCGATACCGTTGCACGATGCCATGGTCTTTGAGCTTGACTGTCACGAGTCGGTCTCTGTATGCGGTTACTGTGGTTGGGTTCTTTGTGGTATGTGATCCCGGTCGTACTGGCACTGGAGGCGGTGGCAACGTGGAGCTTTTGGCCTGTGCCGCAACTTGCGCCCACGTTGTCTGTGCGGTCTTGACTCCACTGAATTTTGCCAAGTTGAGGAGTGTAGTGCCTAGTCCTATAGAGCTCTTGACGGCCGTGACGTCTCTCTGAATGGTCTGGATGTCTTTTGCCGCGTCTCGGATTTGGTGGAGCACCTCACCCACAGACGGCTGCTGCAACACCTTGCCAATGAGCGCCAGGGTAGACTCCACGTAAGCCTGAAATACGTGCCATGGTATCTGATTGGTTCTGCCTCTATCCGCCGCCTGTAGCTGGATACATGCTTCTCTGAGGTATGTGGCATGCTCGTTGATGTGTTCGGGGCCGGTGTTTACCTGCGGCCATCTAGGCGCCATTACCACGAAAACACGCGTTTTGGACGCGTCAATCGTGATAATGGCCTAAGATAACGTAGGATTATCTGGAAAATTACAAAAATTTACGCGTTTCAAAAATTCGATCTGAGCTGGGTGTGGTGTCTTTTTCATTGCCATTTAGTTTGAGGTTGCAGCTCCGTACCCTAGAGTGTACGCACACCATAACGCGCGGACCCCCTGAGGATAATTACTTGTCTTGGTGGCTGACATGTAAACACCATGTACCGTTCTCGAACTAAGAAACATGGGGTATCACATTGTATTTTAAAAATACAGCTTTGTTTGGGGAATGCATATGGAGTAAAGGAACAACTCTAGCGAGTAATTCTTGTTTCATGAGAAGTAACATGATGTGACCCGTCATCTAACCTGGGCGCTTAAGACACGAGATCGAGAGCAAAAAATGACCACTCCGACTATAAATAGACTCTAGGGTCTAAGCTTAGAGCACTATCGCCCGAATTCCATGGACCGCTTCTCGGTACGATATTTACAGCACCGTGCAGCGTAGCATGACCACATTTCGAACACCATGGCCCTGGAGGGTACGTCTACACACAACTTATGTTGGCCTCTGGTGACTTATGCTGCTCTGATGCCCATGGTCAAGTTTTTTGCATCAAGACACTATTTCAGGACCCCGCACCTTTAGCTCAGTAAGTGAACGTGATCTTCTCATACCGAGGGGCACAATTCACAGGCACTCTCGGCCTTTTTAATGGTCGCTCTGCCAGATACACCATTTCATCTCGTGAAATACACTAATACAAAATTCGACGAAAATTATACTATTAGACCCTATTGAGTGAGCAAAAGTCAAAGAGTATCTAGGTTGAATGCCCGCCACTCGTTCGTTTGTCCTCCGACGCACAATTCTCACACGCAAGAATGTGCAAATTAAAAAGCTTGTGCCAGATGCGAATATCTAACGCGATAGCAAAGGGTAAATTTATGCTACAACATTCACAGGACTAGCTGTTCGAGAGGGACGAGGGCCTAGAGACACAGCACGACGCTTTGAATTTGCCCTATTAGCCCTCGTTGCAAGGCTATCGCCGTCGCTTTTGCGCTTCATGCGAGCGCTACGAGTAACAAGGGCCTGGTGTAGTGATAGTGCTTGCGAGGCCGATGCCTCCTGGAGACGGCGGGACGGAGTTCTTGTGCGCCTTGTACGGTCGGACATAACGTTTGTATCTAGCTATGATATGTTGCAGTAAATTACAGTGCTATCTAGGGCTATTGCGGCTGCAGGATGAGTTTGTTGCTACATGCGATATGGCGGTGTACAGAGTTCATACAACTTGCAAATTTTACGGAATTTTGCAAAGCACAATAAACAGTCAAGATTACAAGGAGCGCCTCCACATCATCCAATCGACCGTACTTTATCTTGGTTTCCTCCACAATGTTCGCATGAAACCTAAGAGCGACGTGTGTACGTTCCAGTGTGGTGCCTTATATCTAGGTACAGCAGAACCTCGTCGCTCTCGAACGGTCAGCCCTGACCTGCCGGAGGTATCGCCACGGTACAATATCGAGATGATATAGGAAGACGCGGCGATACAAGCATTGGAGGTTTAGACCACCTGGACAGAGACCATTAAGCATTTCTAATTGTGAGACAGCTTAGATAATAGTGAAGATCAATGAAAAGAGTAGCAGTGCTCCGTTCGGCTATCGTATCCCACACATAAAGGCTATTAGGTTCGCTGACCCCTCATTCTACTTCGATAAATCACTTCAACAGCTCGTTGTATCGATATAAAAGACTCGTATACACGCAACTACTTTACCTGCGGTGCAGGAAGGGGAGGTCATCTAGGAGACCACATGATAGAATCCTCTTCCTACTCCCGACTGCTGGGGGGCTTCAACGTTGCCATGAAGCCGTGAACCGACGGCCAGATTATTGAGCCCGAGACCGAGGTGATGAGAAGGTTTTGATTATGCCCAAAAGTTTTGCTGCCTCGGACCCCCGAGTGCTTAGCGAAAGTGATTTGCATTGCGAAAGACTGTCTCTGATAAACAGATATCTCGACAAAAATTGAACTTTCTCCAGATTTCTCCAGACGCAGAAAATGAAAAAGACCGATCGGCCTACCTCAATCGCATGAAACCCAAGAAATGCAAGCAAAAAGGTGTATACAAACTAGTCCTTGATGACCTGGCGTCTCTCGTTTCTAAAACCCCCAAACCTCCTAATCGGGCAGGGTGAGCCTAAGATTTTAGAGGAAGTTGATCTGTTCCTCATTTGGGACAAGAATAACAAAGAATACAGCTTCTGCCGGATTTATTAGCGCATCACAGGCGCAGGATAACATTCTGGAGAATACACTCTCCCTGTTGTCTTTTTAGCATTGCCACTCCCCTAGTTGGTGCCTGAAGAAACCTGTCAAGAGGGGATGGAGATCGTTGAAGCATTCGAACCCTTGGTTTTCTGGTCGCCCCTCTTCAGAAACATTGGATAATGACTTCGCGACGATATCGACGAATCGCCATGACTGGATAAGCTGAGCATTGTGTTCGTAGTCTTGCTCCTTAGAGTGGAGTCACGACTTCAGGTGCTGTATGCTACCACGAAAACAAGTGACCAGCATCGGGTGTTGCACTATTGTCCTCGATATTGTTCGAGCTTAGACGGCCGCACTTGTATGAAGATGTGTTGGACAGGACTTAATACGTGGAAGCCTAGCTTGGCGCAACCAGGATGGCACATCCCTTGCACGTCTCGATGCCAGTTTTTGGTGACTACGAGAGCTGTATAGTTTGCCTCCCGCTAACCGCCTGAGGCGTGATCTGAGAGCATCTAGGGGCGCAACCTATGGCACTCACTTTGCGGGACCACAAAGGCAGTAAGCATTAGCTAAGAAGAGGGAAATGCCTGGGTAGATCTGACATCCTCAAAAAGCGAAGACAAGAAGCGGCTCTTCGTTCCGTATATCGTGGGCTGTGATGGTACAGACGGCCAGGTTTAACGAGATTCATTTGATGACCGGGGGTTCCCAGGCAGAACCTGAAACCACCACCTCTTAGTCACAAAAGCGAGTTGGTTTCTAAGTTACCTGTACGACACTGGCTGATATTGATGAAATAGACGTTCTTTTACTTCATGAAGTATGGCTGGAATGATTCCAGTTTCGTCATCGACTCGAACCTTTTCCGTATGGCATCACTAGTGTCAAACAGTGGTCTTTGGCGTATGAGATGGCAGGGTCACACCCACGAGAAATTGCGCCCTTATAAACCTAACAAAGCCGTTCATATGTTACCAGATCATCCCGGACCCTTTAAGATGGAATAATCAATGTCAGCACCTACAAAGTGCATCAGTGACTGGCCGAGTCCGTGCGCATGGGCGGTTTTTGCAAGACTGCAGATGCTGCTCATCTGGGGTTGCCCTGCATTCGTGATTTGAAAAAAAGCTCGTAAGAATGGTATGCAATACACTTCATGGCCTCTGACGTACAGAAGCATTGTTAGCGTTGGTAGATTCTTCGATTGCTTGATAAATTTCTTCTCCGTGGCGGAGGCGACGACTCAGTCTTGGACAAGTATGATAAGATTTGAAGCTAAAAATAAGATCCTCCAACATGGCCCAGCTGCGGAAACACACCCAAAGGAACGACTTAGGTGGAAGAACTTGCCATCGTGACCCAAATCACCAGACAAACGTAAGCGGGTGGAGTCACCAATGAAGTCGGTTCGCGGATGAGGCATGGACTGCGACCAATATGTGAAGACGTTCTATAGACTGATGAACGGAAAACGTAGAACTCACATGTTTAGTCCATACAAAATGACCAGGACCGTTTTTGCAGAGGCTATGAGAGCTGTCTCAAATTGCGCAAGTGTTGTGCAAGCTGTCGAGGAATTTGATCAGTGCATTTTGACAGTGTTGCGAAGCCCCAACGTAGATTTCATGTCCGCCATTCTTAATAATCTCCATTTGGGCACCCTTTACCTGTGACTGTATCCATCTTTGCTCTTCCAATTTTGTTGCAACACTGTTTGCTGGAGCGAGAATAAGCATGGGCACGGTGATACGCTTCAGAAACGGCCGCGAGTCTAGAGTGGACAGGAACTGCGCATACTCCGCCAGACCCTCCCCAGGCGATATTGCCGCCTGGTCAATCCACCATCGAACATAGTTTGGGTCTCGTACGGACATAGTTCCCGGTATTTGTGACAAAGCCTCCGCTCAACCACGGCTTCCCAAAACCCGGCACGCGGTGGGCCAGGACTCGTGGCCGAAAGCAAAAAGCGTGAGTGCCTGTGGTGGCAGATAGGTCGGCGACGAACAGATGGTGAGCGAATAGAGTCTGCGAGGGTACTTGGCCACTAGTATCTCACCTACCATCCCACTCATAGATTCGCCTAGAAAATGGGCCTTGTCGATTTGCAATTGATCAAGGGTGTCGATAATCTCCCCGTAAATAGTATCAATCGTATAATCATACTCTGCATCTTGATCCGGTACGCTTGAGTATCCGTGTCCACGAGCATCGCGTCGGACGACGCGGTATTTTCGAGCTAACACCGGAACCCAGTGGTACCAGAAGGCGGTATGTCTGCCAAAGCCATGCTGAATCACAATTGTCTCAGCCGAGGTCCAAGGATCGGTGAAGTCGTCCTCAATCACATGCGTAATCTGCCAATGCGCCTGGAGCTGGAGTTGAAGCGGAAAATCTTGACATTCTGGAATACGGAGTTGTACTGTAGCAACCAAACTACTACTGTCTGATTGTGGCACCGAATAGTCGCGAGCTACGCGTGAGTGACGAGGTCGGTCTAGGACACAGCAATATCGCGGTAATACAGGTTGCGAACGAAGACAAGATGCCCATGGGATCGTAGTCTTTCCCTCTCTGTAGCAGGAGTTTTAAACCTGAGGACTTCGAAAGATCGGCTGCCACGCGCCGCATCACCCCTGCCCTTGGCGAGCTTCGGAAAAATCCGGAGAATTTGAGAGGGGCCCCTGTGGCGACTTTGAAGTCAAATGTGAGCTACCCCACCTACCGATTTAGTCGGTTTTCGGTCCTTGTGAAACTGGAATTGGCGTACTGTCAGACCTTTATATAGAGTCGGCGCCGCCAGATCTTCCCTCAATTCGCAATGGCCATGCATCTCCAGAAGCAGATAGTTCAGAAAGGGTTGGCGCAAGAGCACCCAGAGGTTGGTGACGAGGTAATTGTAGAGTACACCGGATGGCTCTATGAGGACTCGAAAGTTGATAACCAGCATAGAGGAACACAGTAGGTGTTATTCCTGAATGGAAAGCTCTGCTAACATTAAGAGCAGATTCGATAGTTCTGTGGGAAGAGGAGATTTCAAGACGGTTATTGGAGTCGGTAGAGTTATTCCAGGTATGGCCATTTGTCTGTCTCATGTCGAATGAAGTGTGCCAATTCGATCGGCTTAACCTAGGCTGGGACGAGTTGGTTCCTCAAATGTCTGTTGGGGAGAAGTGTCTGATGATTATCCCCCCGTGAGTGATATCATTCGGCGTTTGAAATTGTTGTCTTTGCCCAACCCCCATAGATCGTCTGTTTCTACCTACTGACAAGTACTACCTACTAGAGACAAGGCGTACGGAACAAGGTAATCATATTCGCTCAAAATCAATGACGCAATTTGACTTGTTCATAGAGGCTTCCCTGGCTCAATCCCGCCGAATAAAGCTCTTATTTTGTGAGTGGCCATTCTCGATATTGCTATTCTACTTGCTCACCTGCGTTCACAGCGAAGTGTACTTAAAAACGATCGTCCGCAGATCAAATTAACATTTAGAGATAATAGATTGCGAAGGAAAGGGGCAAATTTCTGCCTATTGCAAGCCTGACCACATAGCCCGGATGGGCTCCTGTCCACAAGTATCGCAAGAAGCTAGAGAATAGTACATCAAAATTGGCTATATTGGGCCCTTCAGCCCTACTCCAGGTGCAACCGATCCTACAGCACCGAAGTTGTAGTTTAAAGCTCGTCAAAGGGATAGAGGACCTTTTGACTAGTCTTATGTTCATCCGTGTCCTTGTTGGGCTTCTGTAACTACTGCAGCGACAGCGATTGGTCAGTTGGGATCGAATGGGCAGCATCTACGTTGTCAGATAGTCTCGACGCTGTCGACATTAACCGTAATGTTTTATTCAAGTATCAGACCGTTAAGTGGTTTAAGCGAAGCTGGACAGGAAGATCCTTCGGCATCTTGAACACGTGGAATTTGGTACACGTGGTTTCCACGTCCTCGCTGCCCTAATTTCAGAATTCCCACCCCGGTCTATAGTACTCTGTTCACAGAATTGAATCGGTGCAACCGACGGGATCAGATCAAACCGCGTTTCCCGAGAAACTCATGCGCCACCCCACTGGTGGTAGCTGCATAGCTCAAAGGAGACGCGTGCCCACAGTCGTGGATAGGGCGTTGACCCAGACTTGGAGATAGATCTTTTGTTGAGGATATGAGACTATGCTCAGGCTCGAGATGTTTTTCCATTAATTCGTTGTTATTGTCTTCACAATCATGGCTCCGTCCTGCACATATATATACACCCTCTCAGAGGGAGATTCCGAAATGTATTTACAATGATGACCAAGAAATGACTAATCTTTCTCCCTATCATCCCACGTCGGAGGGCATCTGAACTGAATCTTCAACAATATTTCTCATAAGTGGCAATAGACTCGGTTCAATTCTTCCCCTGCCTCAGATCCGGTCTTTCCAAATAAGGGCCAGTGGTCGTGGAAGAGCGTCGTCAGCGACAAAATTCACACACGGAAAGTCGACCTCAGGGCTTTCGAACATATCATAATCAAGGCAGCAGGATTAACACCTGGTATCACCGTTCGATTTGAGAAACTTGTGGAAGGCGCTGCCAATAAAGTCTTCCCCGCCGTTGTTGGGAAGCGACTGATAGTTAAGAACCCTGACTAGAGCTCCGAAATGAATAAATGAATACGAATATAGCTTATATTCATGAAAAACACCACCCACAGCTCAGAACAAATTTTTGAAAACGCGTAAATTTCTCTAGTTCTCTTTGTCAACCTACTTTATCTTAGGCCATTATTACGAGTGACGCGTCCAAAACGCGTGATTTCGTGGTAATGGCACCGAGATGGCCGCAGGTAAACAATGGTCCCGAAAACATCAACGAGCATGCCACATACCTTAGAGAAGCAAGTCACCAATTGCAGGCCGCGGATAAGGGCAGGGCCAATCAAATACCCTGGAATGTAGTTCAACCGTACATTGCATCCACCGTGGCGCTCATCAGTAAGGTGCTTCAGCAGCCGTCGATGAGCGCCGTTCTCCAGCAGATTCAAGACGCGGCTAAGGGGATTGAGGTCATTCGAAGAGACATCACCGTCGTTAAAGGCTCCGTAGGACTCGGCACCACACCATTGAACATTGCGAACTTCACCGGCGGCAAGACTGCTACGCCATCATGGGCGCAGGTTGCGGCACAGGCCAAAGGCGCCATGTTGCCGCTACCGCCACCACCAATCCAACAAAGCCCACACGCCTACAAGACCTCGGCCCCAGTCACCGCATACAGAGATCGGGTTGTCACGGTCAGGCTGAAGGACCAGGGTTTTGTTCAACGGTACCGAAGCCATCTAGTTGCTTGGACACGACAACAAGTACAAGCCTCAATACGGCAGAACACCCCCTCCAACTCGGTTAAGGTGGTAGCGGCGTACCAGCTCAAAAGCGGAGATATCCAGATATTCACCAGCACGACCACGGAAGCCAAACAACTCAAAGAGCACAAAGGCTGGCTGAAAGGTCTGGGGGAGCAAGCTGAACTCATCGTGCCGACCTACGGTGTCATTGTCCACGGCATCCCGACCAATTCGATCAACATCAAAGATCAGAAAGCCACCATCCAACACATGCTGGCAGACAACTACACAGTGATCCCTTGCGCCGAGATCAGCTACTTGGGGTGGCTGACCAAGGAAGCCAGCCTCAAACGGGCGTCCTCGATCGTCGTCGAATTCACCGACCCAGAAATGGCCAACGCCATCATTTACGCTGGCATGGCATGGGATGGCCACATCCACCAATGCCAACTCTACGACCGCGCCTGCAGGGTGAAACAGTGCTTCCGTTGCTACCATTATGGTCATATCGGCACTCAATGTAACGCATCCCAGACATGCGGCTATTGTGCGGAGCTACACGAGTCCAGACACTGTAAACAGAAGGGATTGGAAGGGTTTGTCCCGCGCTGTACGGTGTGCAAAGGTGCCCACACCGCATGGAGCAATGCCTGCCCAGCCAGAAAGAAGGAATTAGAGAGAGTGGAACAAGCCAAGCAGATCCGGAGTATCTATTGGCATGTCCCTGCCAAAGCGAACACCACGCGACCGAGAACAGACAACACAACCAACAGCAGCACCGTCCGGGAGGCCGCTCAACCGAGAGATCCTTGCCCGGCTTCACCCATTCCGGCTCAAGCGACGATCCAGGAGTCAGGCGAATCCACTGAGACCGTGACCGCGCAAACTGAGCGTCAGGCACTCTTATCTCCCATTACAGGGCAGGCAACTGCGTTGACAGAAGCGCCCGAGGCAGCCCAGGGACCTCACGAAGTCATTTCGACACAAACGCCGGAAATTCCAGCCGGCGGAGAGGAGTGGACAACGCCAGCGACACAGCAAGAGCCCGCACAACAACAGCCAGATCTGCCAATCGACCCACAACTCAGGCAAACAGAAGAGGATTTTGCCCTAGTTCAAGCATCCCAGGGCAATGCAGCTCGACGATCCACGCAGCGGATGGACGCCCCGAACGAGGCGTTTGAAATGCAGGACACCGGTGCCTGGCTCGACAACATGTTCAACGACAACGAGGACGTGTGGATACCGGACACGGGACATGCTGAATTGTCACCACTTACTTCGCTAGCGACTGACCCATACATAGCGGCAGGGAGGACGTTCAAGGGGTGCAAGTGCCCGACACACCAGCACCTGTACGACGACTGGCCCACACGCGATGTGAAACTAACCATCGCCAAATGCATGACAATATGTGTATACTGTGGGGTCGACTACCAGAGAGCGACGACACTACGGCTGCATCTTAAGTGTGCCAAGCACGCTCAAGACAACATCAGCATCGTGCGAGGGACCCAGGGAAGAGGGAGCTCCGCCACTCCATCGTGGGCGCTTAAACCTCGTGTGGTTGCAGCCAACCATGCCCGAGCCACTCAAAGAGAACCTGCCACAAACGGTGCCAATGCAGCTCCCTATCGATGACAAGACATCAGTCACTACGCATCTTACAGTACAATGTCCAGAAGTCGAAAGATGTCGTCCTTGCGAGTCTGTTCCAGGACCGCTGGATTTCCGAATATGACATTATCGCGATTCAAGAGCCCTGGCGCAATCGATTCATGGCGACGACCTACCATCCACTGAAAGCACATTTTCGGCTGACCTAACTCAACGATAAGAGAACGAGGGTCTGCTTCTACATCAACAAGCGCATTGATCCCAGTACCTGGACAGCATCGTTTATCGGCAAAGATATCATCGTTCTTGAGATCACCCACCCAGTCCTACGCCATTCCCTCTCTATAATCAACGTGTACAACGAAGTGGGAACCAACACCCTCCTCAACTTGAGGGAGACTATCGCCACGCGACATATCGGTCAGGAAATTATTGTCCTCGGGGACTTCAACTTACACCATCCCTTGTGGTCGACGACACACCGCCACACTAATTATGAAATAGCCGCTTCCCAACCTCTGCTCACCATCATCCAAGATTTTCAGCTACGGTTACTCACCATACCGGGGGTCGCGACGTACAGGTGGAGAAATGGAGAATCAACTATCGATCTCACCTTCGCGACCGAGGAAATGGCGTCTCGCACGATCTACTGTCAGGTTGACACTAGCCGAGATTGCGACTCTGATCACCTCCCCATTGCCACCGCCGTTGCTTGGGACTGGCAACCGGCCACTCCAGTCAGAAAACGGC